GAGGGCTGCGCCGAGGCCGCCGTGGAGAAGATCTTGTCCCGCAGCCAGGGCGGCGGGGGCAGCGCCACGATTCGGCTGACCCTGGGGCTGCACGGCATCCACCTGCGGCCCGCCGCGAAGGAGGCCCGCCCGCCTGGCCACGCCTACCTGCTGCACCGCATCACCTACTGCGGGGCGGACCGGCGCCACCCCAAGGTCTTCGCCTGGGTGTACCGGCATCAGGTCAAGAACAAGGCGGTGGCGCTGCGCTGCCACGCGGTACTGCTGTCCAGGGCCGAGAAGGCCCAGGCCGCGGCCCGGCTGCTCTACCAGACCTCCGCCGCCGCCTTCAACGAGTTCAAGCGCCTCCAACGGCAGAGCGACTCTCGCCGCCTGCAGCGGCAGCTCCTGGGGGAGGCCATCGTCCCGCTGGTGCCCCTGCGCAGGCTGCTCAATGGCAAGTGCCCGTACAGGCCGCCTCTGGACCGCGGCCGCAACGCCCCCAGGCTGAGCTCCATCCAGGAGGAGCAGGAGGAGGAAGAGCAGCAGCAGGAGGAGGAGGAGCAGAGGAAGAAGGAGCGGCCTGCTGGAGCCAGGGCTTTGTGCGCACCCAGGTGCCGTCCTGCCGGTGCAGCGCACGACTGGCTCGCCACCCACGCCGTCATCTGCACCATTTGTGGCTTTGGCTCTGCGGGCACTGCCCTCTGGGCCGACCACACCGCCCCCAGCCACCACGTTGCCCCGCTTCCAGATCCCAAGATGGCCAGAGGCCGTGACCGGCCAGAGATGCAGACCTTGGTGCGGGAGTTCCAGTTCTGCACCCTGCGAGGTCCGCTGCCCGTGGAGGACACGGCATCGTGGACGCCTAACCAGGAGTCCCCTTGCTTGTCCTGTTAGAATCGCTGAAGCCATAATTTTTATTCTTCGAGATTCAGGTGGGGAGGGCAAGTGGGCGGATGGAACACGATGTTCCTTCCATTTTGTTCTCCTGGTTTCCAAATCCAGAGTTTGACAATCTATACACGGCCGAATCATTAGTCCTTGTCAACTGAGCTTCATTGTCCGGTGCCACATTATCACAGCCCGTCTTATTCGGCTTGGGAAAAAACAAAAGCTTTACCTTTTCTGTGGATTTCTGAGGTTGGCAGAAGGAAGCAGGATGGGATTCTTGGTACTTTGGGGGGAGATTTTACATATTTGGTGGCCTTGGGGAGGGAGAGTGAGAACTGGGTTATGTTTGTAGTTGCTGAAATGCAAAAAAAAAAGGGGGGGGGAAATGCCTTTAAATAAAATCTCTTTGGGTATGTATATAGATAGATTTATTTATACATAAACAGCATTTTGAACTTGTGTTTACTTTCGTTTGCACCGTTTTGGGTGTCAAAAGTGTGCATGTACGAAAGAGAATTAAAGAGAGATTGTGCTTGGTCAGTGGTGGCACAGGGCTTCCTCTCTTGCACCAAAGGCCAAGGAAGCTCTTCCAAGTTCGGGCAGGTTTTGGAACAGCCCAGCGAAAGTGATGGGGCTGAAGAGCTCCCACTGATTTCTGTGGGTCAGCAATAGGCATGGCTTGGCCGTGTTCGCTTCAGCCAGAGCCGTGGGGCAGGATGGAGGGCGGACTGGAACAGGACGTTGTGTTTCACCGGTAGCTTTCAGAACGATTCATTTTGGAAGATTTTGGATACTATCAACCTCCAAAATTTTTGGTCCTCCCTCCGGAGAAACCACTGTCGTACTTGGAAGGGTGGAATTTGGGCAACCGTTTGTCTGAGTTCAATTATTATTGAAAGTCTCCTGTACCAGTGATGCAAATTCCCCCTTGGCTCAGCCATTTGTTCTCTACAGACTTAGCAGCAGCCGCAGCAGCTCTCATCTCCCCACCCCCCCTTGCAAGGCCCCCCCAACCATCTTGGGAGGTATCCATTCCCTGGGGCAGGACAGCAAAATGTTTTGAGGGTCTGTTCCCAGATCTTTTGGCTCCACTGCCCCAACCAGTAGTTGCGAATGGTGGGCACTCTGTCCTTGTGGGGGGGGGGGGGGGGGAAGTAGGTTGAGATAAGGTGCTCTGAGCCTCCGAATGAGGGCCTGAGGATGACTGAATATGAAACTGGGTTTCTAGTACTCATGGGTTTCAAATCACAAAATCTCTGGAAAAAAACCAGGAACAAAGAAAGGCAAGGGATGGGCCAGGGCCCCAATTCAGCCAGCAGATGGTTCTCTCCGGTCCTGGCACAGAAGCTCTTTTCTACCAGCTCCCCCACAGGTCGCAACTCACCTGGGAGGGTCTCCCTGGGCCTGCTGCACCCGGACCCTGGGCATGGAGCCCCCTGGGTTTGGCATCACCAAGACAGTTTGACAACAGTTGTGCTGCCCAACCACAGCCGCTAACAAAGCGTGCTTAACGTGGGGGGCAAACACAGGACTGGCCCCTAAGGCAACCTGAGCATCTCCATTTTACATTGCCTCAGAGCACTGAATGGTCCCCTATTTGTTTCTGGGGTGGGGGGTTGTGGATGAAGGGGGGCTGCAATTTGCAGCAGAAAACAGCAGGTTTGATCGACTGCTGGCTACGCACTTGGGCAATTCCTCCACAAGCCCCTGTTAAGTCCCCACTAAAACCAGAAACAAATTCAAATATTGCCAAACATCACCCTGTTTTCCTGCTATAATGAGAATCTGAATTTCAACAGGAATCTTGCATATAAACCACCTCCGATTTTTAGTACCTTGGAACTTCTGACACTCCCCAATTCTTTTCAGAGTAGGCACTGTGTGTGAAACTCCGTATCTCTTCTTCAATATCCTGCCCCGTTGCACATCAGCAAGCAGACAGTCAGAATCTTGTTACCTATTAAAAAGGAAAAAATAGAAATTAAATACCAAGATCAGGTACCGTCAGATGTCAAATTCAGACAATCTTGAGAGAATATTGGTACCTATATAGCATCAAACTATAAAGAAAACTAACTGGGGGAGAAAATTGGCTTTCTCTAAACCCTGGATTTTGAAAGTGACGGAGAAGCGAGCAGCAGAGGGGCGAGGAACGATGCCCCTCATCTGCTGGCTGCTTGCTCAGACTAACCCACCCAAAGACTCCTTCCTGCCCATCTTTGCTGCGAAAGGTGGAAGCACGTTTATTTCCTGCACTGCTGTAAATTGGGGATGATCCAATTCTGCAAAAATTGCCCATCCTGAATTTCAGTTAAATGAGGGGAATGTCTAAACTCGAACGTAAACTTAAATGGGTCTCCTGAGAAAGTTTTATTTCACCGAGATTCTGGTCTGTTGAGTCAAGAGCCCCAGCCTCAAACATAGAATTAGAACACAGGTTTGTGCGAGGCGGTTAAAACCCAGCAAGAAAAGAATCCGTGCCGGAAGCACAAACACTTTGAGGCTGCTTTGTTGTAGGGTTTTATCCGTAACAATTTCAGGCAGGGGAGAAACAAATCAAAGGGCCCCAAAATAACGGTCAGACGCTGATGTGTGGATTTCTTTGGAACCACTGCCTTCCACCCGCCGGCTTTTAAATGTGTGAGACTAAAAGTCCCATTATCCCTAGCCATGATGGAAGAGACCCCGTGGGGTGCATTTAACAATGAAAGAGGAGAATAACAAAGAAGACCTCTGGCCCTCATTTCACTTCCCAAACCAGGTAATTTGCAAGCCCACCATGTGAATTACGAGTGCTTAGGAAGCATCTGCGCTTCAGAGATATTGTATTATTGCTATCTTGGAGAATAAGCACAGGGATATCTTTAACTGGTTTCATTCCAGAGCAGAAATTTGCTTCTGTGACTGCCTGCAGGTTGCCCTCTGAGGAAGAACAGAGTGCCTCGGGACGCATAAACCTTACACTGGCACTGACTGGCAGTGCCCAGGCACCAGGCGCTCTGCCCGCCTTTCACTTCATTTTTTTTTAAAGAAACGAGCTTAAAAAATTAAACGGGAAGCTGGAACGCTGCAGGAGCAAGCGCCAAGATTCCATTTATTTCCATATAGGTCTTGCCAGGCAGTGCCAGGAAATACAAGCAAACTTGGTGCTTTATTTAGAAGTGCCCCCCCCACCTGGAAAAGGAATAAAGCTCGGGGGGGTGCAGGCCGCACATTTCAAGGCTCTGTGCTCGTTGGAGGCAGGCTTTGCTGGCCCGCAAACCCTGCTTGACACAGAGGAGGTACCCCATTAAAGTACCACTAAATCTGCCATCCTGTGGCTTGCAGAAATGATAGCTGGGTGCACCCTTGGGGGATGGCAGGGGGTAGAAGTGTGCAAGTGAGAACACACACCGAGGACTAGCAACGCATTGCCTACTCGCAGGTGAGGCTGGATTTTCTATGCAACGAAAACAAAA